CTTATCTTATATTTTTATCCTACTATGGTTCTCCATGGAGATAGGGTTGTCTTGAAAGCTGTTGTGGGACCTGCTGTGTAGAGGTTCTTTCTTTTACTGTAGTCCTTTGCGGGAAATTCCTTAGTTTCTTCCATCCTTTTGCTCCTCAGCGGAGAACCTCACCTAATTTGGGTATAGCCTGAAAGATTCTGGGATCATGCTTACAGGGCTATTCAGAAAAAGGGTGAAGAGTTTGGAGAAGGCAGCAGAAGTGAATAATCTAGGCCAAAATAGCTGATTTGGAAACATTCTCCAATTCAGCTCACTTTCCAGCTCAGCTATGTTGTCCTAGATTGTTCACTTCTGCCTTCTCCAAACTCTTCACCCGTTTGTGAAAAATCCTGGTTATTATAACCTAACCTCTTTTTACACAGGTGTTGTATATTTTCCCACTCTAACCCTATGTAGGTCTGTCAGGTAGTACTGTTGAAAGTTTTTTCTTCCTTGCTTCCTTGCTTAGCACCTTTCTTTCAAAGGTCTTCCTCCCCCTAAAATCAAGAGTTAGCTTTATCCTATTGAGCCTTAGCAGCTGTCTACTTGACCTTTCACTAGACATACCTACTCTGTCCTAAATTCCTTTACGTGAAGTCAAGGGTTGGGTATGCCAGGCTTAAGCCCGTTTGCTGCTTCCAAATGATGTTTTATGTTTGGTCATTTTTTTTAATTTTCTCTATTAACCATGTTGCTACTTGGTCTATATGTCCCACCTGTCAGGTGTTGTACTGTTTCACCTATTTTTTATTTTTTTTGATGGACTGTTACTTGGTCCTTCATTGTTGAGGTCAATTGTTCTTAGGTACAGTCTCTGTGAAGTGTTTGCTGACCTGATCTGTAGATCGAGGTTTCTGTATTTAATGCTCTCTCCTTAGTTGTGGCTCTTCTCTTTTGATTGATCCTTCATCTAGTCTTCTGTTAAGGCTTGACTTCTTCTAGGTATATGTGGTATGAATTCCACATTGCTTGGATCTCTCTGGTTTGCCCACCCCTCAGCTAGACTGTTTTTGGACATACCACTTGTCCCTGATTTACATCTGATTCTATGTCCTTTAATATACGGTAAATAAAACAGGATTTTGTACTTACTGTTAAATCAGTTTTTTGGAGTTCTTTAAAGACCACAGGTCCCACCTCTCTGTGTTTGTAAACTCCTCCAGTATTGCTTTCTATAAAATTGAAGCATTATGGCAGTGGGAGAGGTTACATCTGATTGGCTTTTGCCTTTTTTTTTTTGCCAGTGTCCAGCTCCTCCTCAAGGTATAGGTATAACCCACATCTATCCTGTGTCCCTAATGAACTTCATGAAATGAATTTTACAGTAAGTACACAAATCATGTTCATAAATATTACTACCTGAACCTGTCTTTATTTTAGCTTCCTGTAATCCTCTGCAGAACAGGATGCAGGTTGGGAGAGGAAGTTTATCAGTCTGGTTCTCCTGTACTGTAAAGTGCAATTGTTATTGGTGCTAGAGTATACAGGATTTTAGTTTTGTCAGAACTGTTGTTTTCTCCACATTCTGACTTTCCTGGAAAGCCAGTGGTTAGGAACCATTCCAACACATTCCAAGGTACAATGCTGGGCCTCAATGGTCTGTTGAGAGGACTCCCATTGCATTGTGTGGTGTGCTGGGAGTGCTGCTGTGACTGCCATTGCTGAAATCCAGAGGTCTTGCTTTGCAGGTACCCTTGGGTTTCCAGGGCTCCTGGGCATTCTACAGTAACAGATATTTAAGAAGATCCTAGTGGTTCCTTGTTTACATGTATCTGCTTATTTCTACCCATCACCTATGGTAAAATGTTAGATTTAAAGTTCTGATCTTTGGTCATCTGCAGTGCCTAAAGTGTTTTTTATTAGTTACATTTAAACCTGAGTTCCTGCTAAACCTGTACAAAGTTGATATACACCCATTATACTGTACAGATGGCTAAGAGCCCCGACATGTTTTAGTATCAAGAAATGGCTTAAGCTGGAGGCATTTCCTCTCCATTCTGTGTCTGCTTCCTATGAATATTATGTGCCTGCGACCTATAAGCAGATGTGCTTGCATATTTTAGCTGTGATTATTGCTTAATACATTTGCCTGCATTAAATACCAATTGGTTTAATCTGGTAAAGATTTACATGTGCTGTCAAGACAGTTATTACAGTAAATCAATGAACAAAGCATAGCGTTTTAATAAAATGTTAAGCTCATATCCCATTTGTCATTTTCCAAGTGCAGTCGATAGAAAACGTTCAATTTAAAAATAATATTTAGGTTATGGCAGTTGAAAGACTAATGTTAAAAACATAAGACATATTTAATTTTACAAAAGTTTTTTTTTTTATATGTGCTTGAGGGTTTTGTAGCTGTGTGTTGATTTTTATACATTTAGAAATGGACATAGATTATGCACTTTGCGCTATCTACCAGCACTTACAAAAACACTCAATTATCAATGTAACGAAATGGTGATGTTGTCCAGCCAAAACATTTTGTTTTTCTTTTGGATGGTGAGGTCTAGGTCTTTCTTCATTGTTTTACTGATGTACTTATTCTGATGTGATCTCATTGGTCTGCTAGAAGAAATATTAGTTCTTAATACTCCACACTGATGTATCACTGGGAAGCTAAAGAAAATATATTGAACTGTTCCTTTCCTTTTATTTAAAACTGCCTGCCCCAAAACCAATAACTATGTTGTGGCTGTAGGTACTGCAGTTTGTTCAAACTCTTCTTTTTTGATCCTACTTTAGTATGCTCTGCACTTTAAAGTTATAAGATCCTGTCCACGTGTAGCCAAAGGAGCTCTACAAGAGTGATCCTCATGATATTTCTTAGGTGGCGATGTTACTGGTAACCCATGAACCAACATGCAGCTGACTCTCACTGAGTTTATACATCTTGAAAGTTCCTTTGAAATGTTTTCTCTACTTGTATAGACATCATGATTATCTTAATTTTACCAAATTTGGGAGAGGTATGAAGAGATCCCCTGTCTGCCAAATCCTGAGTTTCATGTGGACCTGCAGAAAGAAATTTGACTAGCTTACCCAAACTTTAGTTCTTTCATTTCTGTAAACACTAATTTATGGGTCCCAATATTGTTATTGGAGGTTATGGCATTCCACTTAAGCAGGAATCACTTATGCTTTTTTTAAACAGTGACATATAAGTGCTCTGCACTTTTGGAAATTGCTGATGATGGGCTCAGCAAGGGGTTTGCATGTTGCACATTGAAGTTTTCTCAAGTAGCATACATTTTCAGCAGATTTCTATTTTTGTTTGTGAAAATGGGCAGGACACTTTATTGGACTTAATTCACTCTCTTTCCATTCACATATTAGCTCCTGACTGATCTCCTGCAGTGATAGAAATTGAGCAGCAGATCTGATTTACAGTGCTCAGTTTGAACCTAATGATGTTTGTGAAAACATCAGTGGTTATGTCTTTGGGACGAAAGGTACTCCTCTCATTCTTTTACCTCTACACAATATTGTGTTCTATATAGATTATTACACTGATCTATGTAACGGTCATAGACAGGATAAACTTTCACTAAAGCAGTTTGTACTGTTTTACAATAATTATTTTGCAGTGATATAATATTATTGTCTAAATGAATAATCAGTAGTGTGTTCTTTTAATTTAGGTGCAAAATGTTCAGCATATCTTGATCAGTGCTTATCATTTTGCAAATGGCATAAGAATACCTGACATTTTTATGGTTTTTAGTAGAAGTAGCTAGTATAAGAATGATGGCATTTATTCCTGTGATAGTATAGTATTTATTATGGTGGTAGTATACAATTCCCTTCAAGCTTAACACCAGCCTTACCTTTTATTCCCACACGTGTAGCAAGGAGATACGACCTTCCATTGTCACCCAGAACATGAGGGAAAATCCAAAATTTTAGCATTGTCACAAGAACAAGGAGTAAAGGAAAATCTGCCAATGAAGACACCTATTCTAGGGACAAATGTTTAAGAGTAGAATACCCTTTACTTTGGTTTCCTCTAACTTCCTATTGCGTCTCTGGGATAGGAAGTAAAGGAAAATTTCCATAATATTGAACCGACAGCAAAAACAACCATTCCATACTCTATCCAAAACTTAAAAAAGGTTTTGCCTATGCTGTACAAATTGCTGTGTTTAATTGCAGTAGCTCCTTGTCACCGTGAACTGCTCTTTAATTTTTAAGTTAGATTGATTTATGTGGTGGGTTAACAGCTTACACTGTGATTAAGGGTCAATAAGTGGGCAGCACAGTGGCTTAGTGGTTAGCACTTCTGCCTTGCAGCACAGGGTTTGAATCCCTTCCAGGTCACTATCTGCAAGAAGTTTGCATGTTCTCCCTGTGTTTGTGTGGGTTTTCTCTGGGTACTCTGGTTTCCTCCCACATTCCAAAAACATGCTGGAAGGTTAATTGGCTCCTGCCTAAATTGGGCTTTTATGTGTGGATGTGAGATAGTGACCATAGATTGTAAGCTCCTTGAGGGAAGGGACTGATGTGAATGTTCAATAGGTTACGCACTGCGTAAAATTATCGGCACTATATAATTACCTAAAATAAATAAATAAGTGACAATTGTATCTTAATAAATTACCACAAGTAGTGAAATGTATTGTAAGCAGAAATTTCTGACACGGAAATTCCTATGCCAAATACAACCAAGATCATGTTAAACCTCAGGTTCAACCAAATCTGTTTATTTATTTTTTTTGATAGACTTTGGAAGGCTTAGCATTGCTGTCAAGTTATGATTACCTTTTTTGGGGAGCTTTATTTTGTGTTTTGTCCCAGTGACAGCATGTCAAGAAATAATAGAGTGCCGGAGTCACATGGATAGAAAGACACAGATATAAAAAGCTATTAAAAAAAAAAAACCTTCAATAAATATTACAGAATGGTGATATTATAGTTTTGTTGTATACTAAATAGTGCCCTGGGTTCACCATGAGTTCCTGTTTTATTCGCAGGGGGATTCTGGTTCCCGGTGGTTTTGGATTACGAGGCACAGAAGGAAAACTTCAAGCAATTACCTGGGCAAGAGAAAGGAAAGTGCCTTTTCTAGGTACTGTGAAGTATTCCATTGTAAAACTAAAGTAAAAGGCGTAAGTGAAATAAATAGGCTGGGACCAGCGGTGATCCCACTGCCATTCATGGCAATTAGCACTTGTAAAAAGATATATTAGACAAGCCAAGTTCTCATTATGAGTTGGTATCAGAATAGCCAGTTGACTGACCCAGCAGAGAACAGCAATTAAAGCCTGTTCTGTTAGTAAGTGAACTGCAAGAAGCAATTTGGGTGATTTTTATTTTTTTATTATAGAGCTTTACTTCAGATAATTAGCAAAATTTGTTCAAAGAGCTTTTTGTGTGACAGAAACATTTCTGTACACATCAAATGCCATTGACTGTGATTAAACCAAATAACAGTGCTGTCACCTGTGCTCCCACAGTGGAGACGAAATCATGAAACAATTGTTTCTTTTTGTACCCTCATTTATCAGCAATAGCTTGGTATTTACTGGTTCTGTTATACATTTGATCCTGGAGTACTTTTAATTAGACATGTCACAATGTGCCAGATACATAGCTGCAGGGAGGAATAGAAAATGTTTTCTTTTAGTTGTATTTTTTTTATTTAAGTTTTAGTTGTTTCCTTTACACAAAAAGATAGTTACAATGAACAAGGAGCCTTTAAAAAAAAAGTTTATAATTTAGAAAAAATGTTTTGTTATTATCTGCATGCAGTCTTTTTCTCACAAATAAACATTTAGTACATGACAAAGAATTCTCAGAGCACATAGGGTTAAAGGCGAACTATGGGGTGAGTAAATTACACTCATCCCCATAGTGAGAGCCGACGTCTGACATTGAAACTGTCAGGCTCTATTAATGGGGAAGTGATTGAAAATATACCGCTGTTCGCTCACTTCCTGATCTCACTGCAGAGGGAGGTGACTATCAGTCACGGCTCCCACAGGGATTCCCTGTGGGAGGGACGGGGGGAGGGGGCGGGCATAGCTGGCTCTACCTCTAGATAGGCAGAACCCTCTGTCAATTAGCCAGTGGGGTGTATCTTGACAGTATTGTCGGTATCCGTCCCATCTGCGGCGCTCTCAGCATATAGAGGGCAATAGCCCGCTATATACTGAGTTTTGGGTCATGGGAGGATGATAGTATATGTCCTCCTGTGACCCTAAAGAAAACTATGGGAAAAAAAGGTTACCCCATAATTCTCTTTTAATTAAAGACACATCACATCAGTAGCTGCCTACTTGAGGCTTGTGTTTGAATCCTTCAACAGACCTTGTGTGTAAATTTTAACTTGAGCTACTGGGCCCTGCAAACAGGTTTTTAGGAACAGGTGGTAAGGAGACAAAGAAAATAATGTAAAAAGTAGACTAAGCATCACCTTCTGGTAGAAGCCTGCATAGGATTTATTTTTTGCAAATGAAACCACAACAAAAATAACATGGGAATACATTTTGTCTTGAATATACAAAACAAATATACATTCCTTTTTAAAAATGTAAAACTTTAGAAGTGTAGTAAAACAAACATAATGACCCTTATTAAAGGAGAACAGCATAGTACAAAGAGCAGTAATCCACAGATGTTTTAGGGGTTAATCTATTTCTATACTGGTCAGCACCATCTAATGTGTAAGTGTTGTGCGAACGGCATCTGCAGAACCTTTATACATTACCCCTTAGTGTACTGACTAGTGTAAACTGTAAAAGTTAAAATGTTGATTGGTTAACATATAACAGCTACGCATGATTACTACAACTACAAATGTTGTTTTACATTGTATTTTTAAAATTTTTATATTTTATGTGTGTATTGAATAAACCTCAACATCTAACCTTCACTGCTATCCTTTGTATGTTATATAGTGACAGGTCCTCTTTTAAAGGGAGGTATCAGATTACTGGCTCCTGTTTCCACAGTACAATTAGTTACAGTAATTAAATGGATCTAATACATTTGCAGGGTTTGAATAGAAATATTTTATTTCTGTTACAAAATATGCACAAATCTGCATATATTACTGATATTTCTACGAAAAGGTATTTAGGGACTAGATGTGGGGCTGTCATGGTTATATGTATATACTCAAGGTAATGTAAACTTAAAGTAGGTCTGTTGTTTTTCTAAAACAAAGATGATTTTGTAGCGCAGTACTTTGCTAAAACTAGATACATACTGTAAGTAAAATTTTTGAGCAGTTGTGGAAGATCTTTGACCTTCTGGCCAGTCTGTACAGAGTGTACTAGGCTTTGCTTTTCATGGCTTTCCCAGATGAGAGGCATCAGTTTCTCTGCTGTGCAGAGCCACTGAACATAAGAGGGGCAGCAAAGGGCACTGCTGCAAGACAGACTATTGATGTTAATAAATGAGTCCACAGCTAGACTGAATTCGTCTCTCATTAGTTCACATACTCAGAGAAGGCTCAGAGAAGCAAATCTTTAAGTAATTGCCGTGACTTCTGCAGTATTTAGCAAAGGGTTGTCACTCATCATGTACCACCATCACAAACAGTTCAGAGAAGGGCCTTTGCAGGACATGGCAACAGTTATATCTGTTAGGACCAGTGTCCATTGGTACATATCTCCTTCTTTGCCTTGCTTATCTGCAGGGATTCTAATAAGGACTCTGCTGTCTCTAAAATGCCAATGTTGGGAAGTGTGCACTGCTATGGGCTTTAACTACTTATACTGCATAACATATATACTGTATATGTGTGTACGATCCAGTGGAAGAGGCTCTCATGGGTCTTGTAATTAAGCAATATAGATACATTAATTGGTCAACATTTCTTTTTCAACGCAATGCAGTGCCTTGTCGAAACGTTGACCAATACATTTATGTATGTTGCTTTAAGACCCATGAGTTCCTCTTCCACTGGACCATTTGTATCTACTTGCCTTGAGTGCACCTAGGTTGTTTTTCCTCTTGTTAGTGTGGTACCCACTATTGGACTTTTTTTTTATTTATATACAGTATACCATACCAAAGGGGAACTAAACCTTCCTATCCTTTACAGCTGAGGACGGAGCCATCTTAGTCTCTTTATAAATCTTTAGTTGCCATGGGGGTGTACATAGGATTAGCTATGACACCAGCCATTTGAGGGCTTAATACTTTGGTTGAAAGTTAATATAAGCACACTGGCAACTGAGAATTATCACCAGAGGCATGTCTTGAATGTAACTGATTGGGAAACAGTTAAATCGGTGGGTTTTGTTCCATTTTAAGTATTCCGGATGAAAGATTTCTTCACCTCGAACCGGAGATTTAGTTGCAGGAGTCACTAAAAGGTTTGAAAAGCTAGTGGAAGGGTCAACCATCCAACATCTATCCATAAACAAAAAATCAATATTTTCATGAAATGATCCTTTCAACTGAAAGCCAATACAACTGAAAGTGATAATTTAATGGGTGAAGTGTATTGGCCACTGGCCTGCTTGTAAGACTTCATGCACACTACATCGAAAAAAAAAACATGAATTCAGCTGCATTTGGAGCTAATTCCTAAGTGCACCTGGACTCATGTAATGTTTTTTTTTGTGACCGAATGCACACCTAGATGTCCAACAGCGTCTAGGTGCATTCAGTCTAGAAGTGTTTACACTGACTAGAAATTTCTGTATCCTGGGTCCGTTTAGCCCAGTTTTATGCAGCTAAATGCGTGTAAACGTGACTAAGCCCAGCAACAACTAAACACAAAAAAGTGAACTGGGAAACATAAAGTTGTTTATACTTATCGGATAACTTCTCTTGTGTTTAAACACATCTGGCTAGTGTGCATGAGGCCCTATGGGAACTCCACAGTGGCATGATCTCTCCACCACATTCCCCCGAGTAAGCAAATTAATATACAAGCAGAATAGTGGAATTATTTTGGAATTGCAGCTGCAGACTTGGAAAAATGACCATTGGAATCCCTGACTACCCCCTGACAAACATAACAAACTTCTGAACCTATTCTCCTGCTTAAAAATCTAAAATATACGTTTTCTGTGGAGTAAACCATCCTTAATTTAAAATAAAATACACAAATGCAGTGTTACAAACAAAGTTTATTTCAGAATAAAACGGCACACATTTTTTTGCAATTGCAATGCACTGAAAAGCACGTCATTGCAGTACCGGACGTTCCAGTGCGGGCGATCACACTGTGGGTGGGAGGCGCATTTGGGATGAATGGCACTGCAACGCACCTCCCGCAGCAGAATTTGCCGAAATCGAAAATGACTTTTCCCCCACCTTTTTATATATATATATATGTAAATAAGTGTATTATAAGCACATGGCACTTGAATAGCTTCAGCCAGGGAATGACAGCTGCCAGTGGCAAGATTCCACAGACGGCAGCTGAATGTAAATACAGCAGGTAGTGGGCGGGTGCAATAGCCATCCTGCTCTGCTATTGGCCTTTTAAAATTGTAGTAGCCAATAGCAGGCTGGCTATTGCAACCGCCCACTGCTTGCTGTTCCCTCCTCCCAGTGGAGGAGAGAGCTAGGGGATCCAACTAACTAATCGATAATGAGAATAGTTGACAACTATTCTCATAATCGATTATTATTGACTAATTGATTAGTTGGTTGGCGCCCTAAACTCAAATAGTTTATATTGCCTGGTAATGAAAACTTCAAGCTTATTTTGATAAAAGTGTTATTGTTTTGTTCCAGGAGTATGCTTGGGCATGCAGCTAGCAGTGGTGGAATTTGCAAGAAACTGTCTGAATTGGAAAGGTGAGATATTTTATTATTTACGCAGTGAATGAACTCAAACAATGTGAAGTCAAAAAGCTTGGCTTCCTCTATGATTTTTCCAAATTGATTTGATTTCACAGCAGTGGTTCAACATTAATATTTTGTTCTCATGCGAAAAGTTTAAATTACTTTCAAAGTTATCACAAAAACTACTTTAGATTTTATGGCATCAAAGGCTATGGGTGGTAGGTTACTGCATATCTTATGCTGGTCATGAAAATTAGAGTGTTAGAGCTGAAATATATACTTCTACCAACTGTTAAATAGATGTGTGCTTGGATTGCTCAGGTTTATTTGTTTGTGCCTGTGGAGAAAGGAGGAGAAAAATGGAGAGACATCTTTAGAGCCTACCTCTTATGGTAATGATGAACCAGAATTGTTCCTTATAACCAGTCGAAGCCCCTTCACATGACCAGTTATGGAATTGGGGTGCCATCTGTTGGAACTCATGTGGGATGTGCTGAAATCAAATGACAATAATACATTGTCTGTGGATATTGACAAGCTGTCAAGAGATCAGTGCTTGAACTTCTAGGCCGGGGGTCTCAAACGCATTTGACTCGGGGGCCACTCAACAATTTTTTTTCTCCCATGGGGGCGGCTTGACAAATTTCGTACATCAAGATAAAATGTAATTACATCCGGTATGGTATTACGGACCCCAATACACACAATAAGGCTCCATTCATATCTGTAAGTTTAGGTGCAATTAGGGATTCCGAACTTGCGTTTATCTGTCAGGAATGCCTAATCTGGTGTTTACAAGTGACAGCTGTCACCCATTAAAGTTAATGATCAAGTGACAGCAGCTGCATGTAAACGCCTGCACACCGCATTTATCAGTTAGAAAACACTCTCCCTGGTTGCACAATCGATGTGTCCAGGGAGAGTGATTGATCCTAACGAAATGTAATCATATCACATATATTTACATGCGGTATGCAGGCGTTTACATGCAGCTGCTCTCATCTGATCATTAACTTGAATAGGTGATATCTGTCACTTGTAAACACCAGATTAGGCATTCCTGCTGCAGAAAAACGCAAGTTCCGTATGCAGGAATTCCTAATTGCACCTAAAGATACAGGTGTGAATGGAGCCTAATTCACTCCCCCCATACACATAAAAAACCTACCCCTGTACATATAAAATAATATACCCCCCACCCCACAGCCACATATCACATATAAAATAATATACCCCCCACCCCACAGCCACATATCACATATAAAATAATATACCCCCCACCCCACAGCCACATATCACATATAAAATAATATACCCCCCACCCCACAGCCACATATCACATATAAAATAATATACCCCCCACCCCACAGCCACATATCACATATAAAATAATATACCCCCCACCCCACAGCCACATATCACATATAAAATAATATACCCCCCACCCCACAGCCACATATCACATATAAAATAAAAATAAAATACAGAGCCCCCTCTCCTGCTTACCTTTTTGCAGGGAGGAGGCTGTGAGGAGGCACGATCGATCCCTTTTGCTCTAGTGGTAATTAGTGAGGTCTGCTGCAGACATCACTAATTCTTCCCTCGGCCAAAGCTCAGAACTGAGCTCCAGCTGAATTGATCTCAGTGCCTGGAGGAGCAGCTCTGCGGTCTGCATCCGATAGAGATGCAGACCGTGTAGCTGCTCCCGCAAGTCAGGTATGCGGGCCGTGACTGCATACCTGACTTGTCACCTGGCTGCGGGCCACATAGTACCACTATGTTCATTTTGCTTTGCTGACTTTAATCATTCAGTCATGTGCAAGCAATTTTTCTTTCAAATGATAGAATATTCAAAGTAAATACAGCTTCATTTTATTTACAAAGCTAAGGGAACATACACTTTGCAAAGCGAACAGCCTCTTCTCTTTTAGTAAATCAACCATAAAGGTTCATTTCTGTGCCTTTCCACAAGACTCAGATACCTTGCAGCTGCAATCAAGAGTTAAGTTATGTCAAGTGTGCTCCATCAATGTGCTCAGAAGCTGCAATTCTATAAGAAATGTATATAATCGTGCTTCTTAAATAAAGCCAACTGCAGCAGGAAGGATACGGTTATCTTTACCATTACTTTTACATGTACATTACATGTCAATCAGGATGCCACTATAATATAATAATATCTTCCATTATTTTTGTCCTGGTGATAACATATACAACAATCTGCATAATTTTACAAAATGATTTTCTGTTCAGCAACATTCCAATTACTAAAATGACATCTAATGGATTCAGTCTTGATGTACATGACAAGCTCTGTTTCCATTAAGTGACACCTTCATATTTGACATTATTTCTTAATTTGTAGTCAAGTTTAATACTTTCAGAGTTTTCCATTTTGTAAATCGAAATAGGAATCTGAATGTGAGGGAGGGAATTATTCTGGAATATTAAACAAGCAGTATGAAAAATATGGGAAGGATATATGAAAGTGATATAAAAATGTATGGAATTAAAATGAGAATGAAATATGAATGTGATCAGTACATGAAACTGTAGCCAATGTTATCATTTATTAAAATAATATGGCATTTGGCAGGCAGGATAAGGCTATTTTAAATGAATTTCTTCAAGGAAGCTTGGTGGGTAAAATGTAGCTTATGTGCATTAATTTTACATCACAACATGTAATTCCAAACAGTTTGTTCTATCACTGAGGTGCAGGGAGAGTTCAGTCCACATTGACTCATTCACACACACATATACACATCCGAATACCTGCTCCCCGTTCTGTTTGTGACATCTGCTGTAAGATCTGGAATAATGAATCCATTTGTTATATACAATTGTTCTTCCTGTCCTGAAGAAATGTAATTCTTTAACAGATGCCTTGGCTGAAAAGTACATAAACATGTGCATTGATGTACAACTTGTACACAGTATGGACTTAAATGCAGAGGTTTCCTGGGGCTGCAGCAGGACAATGTTCTAGCAGGTGTTTCTTGTATCAGAGTATTTTTTTAGGCAGGTTACTGAATCATTAATCATTAAATCATCAATGTTTCATAGGTTATTGCTATTAAATGGATGCAGCCATCTGCACCCACAGTAGCTCAATGCTTTAGCCATATAGGGCAAAGCAACAGGTTTGCTTTGATGTCTCCCTCCCCAGGAGCTCACACCCACCTTAGCCAGCAGA